GCTGTTGCTTTGTAGGTTCCCATGCATAATTGGGACACATCCAGTACCTCTGTCTATATGTTTCATCATCTTCAGAGATGTCTACCTTGCAAGGATCACCACAAAAGCACATGGGTCGAGGAACACCTTCAGGGAGAGGCTTTAGGTCGTAGGGATTTGTCCTCTGACGACCATAGCTACAATTGAAAGAATTTAGTCATATTAACGGAGAACCAAACCTAAACCTTGGGTTTTCTATTTGTTGCACAAATAATGAATAAATATTGGGATTACCTTGGAATACGAGCTTTACCACGCCTTGGCATCCTAACATTACGTAGAAAAAAAATCAATCCAAAGTACCTTGCAACGAATGTAAAGCTACTAACACTAAATCACCATACCTCCCAAATAAGCTTTTCATTATAAACCCTAAGCAAATTTGAATCCCAACAAACACAAAATTTAACTCAATGATTATAAACCAGAACATATACAACAACAACCATACATTTGGGTCATTCAATCATTTGAACCACCATATATTGCACGAATGACATGAACATGAACCAAACCTATAATGCCAAGTTCAAAAAAAAACACAAACAACCGAATCTAAATGGATGAAATGAAAGAGGGGAAAGAGGAGTACCTTGGCAAAACGTCAAAACCCTCGATCTGGCCTCCCAAGAGCTGGATTTAGGATTTAGGGTTCGTGGGAAGAGAGAGGGAGTGGGAAATGGCCACCTGTTGGTTCTGAATGGAGGGAGGAGGAAGAAGGGGGCCGCGGCGCGGCCTCAACTGACCGAACCTCGGCATTGAGTCAGGCCGCGCTGAGGTTAGCGTCTCGACATCTGATCGCACGCCGACCTCTTGGCCCATGAAGCGTTGTTGGGCCGCCTGGGCCGCGCGCCGGATGGTGCCAAGAGCTCGGCGTGACTTCCCACAGCGCCGAATTTAGGCCTGTGGCGTTGGCTGACACGACGCCGACGTACTGGGCCCCATGTGCCAGCCCCAGAGTCGTCGGTGACGTGGCAAGGACTCGGCGTCGTGTCAGTCAACGCCGACCTTCATACCTCGACGTGATTTCCTAAGACGCTAAAAAATAGTCTATTTGTAGCAAAAGTTTTAGCAGAGGTTTTTTTAAAAATATTTAAAAAAAAGACCAAAATGCAAAAATTTCACCAGTACTGAAAGGTCAAGGTGCCAAGGTGTCCATGGGCCATGCATGGCGGTTATTAATTTCATGTCTCAGCCTCTCAAGTCTCAAGTAGTAGGTACCGAGGGTGTCAGAGATACTGATCGAGTAAATTGCGCGTGGATGCATGCATACGTGGCTCCACTCCACACGGATTATTATTATATATATAATATGGATATGGATAGATCATCGAAACGAAAGTCTCTGGTAGTAGGATGCATTTCTGCTTGAAAAAGGTCGATCGATTGTGTACAAGTTCCCCATTTATTTATTATTAAACAACAAACGAAGAGAAGATGTAGTCCGGATACGATGTGCGATTGTCGCATAGCCACACTGGAATGTCGTCATAACGGAATACTTGAATTTTGATTGCTTGCTTCTGAGTTCTGACAGAAAGGACTATATGAACTTATTTTGTTACGCGTACAAGATGTTCATTCATAAATAAATTTGGAGTGCACAAACTAATCAATGAGAATTACTTATTTTGTTCATTCACCTTTTTTTTTGTAACTAATAACTACTAAGAAAAACTAGTCCCATAAAGTTGTGAATATAAGTTGTAGTAATAAGTTTTGTCCCATATAATGGAATGATAAAAGTTGTGTGTACATATAACTCTGTAACTTTCTAAAAATCCAAAGTTGTGCAAAATATTTTTTTTTCTCAAAAAAGGAAAGTTGCAGGATTAGCTCATAGTTTTTTGGATTCGAATCCAATGAACGTTCGTTATATATTAGTGTCTCCGCTAACAACTAGTACATGACTAGAGGACTAACAATTAGTCTGCTTATTTAGATCTTTAGGAACTATAGATTTGTTAACTAGTTGTTAGTCTTATGGATCCAAAGGTTTTGACTACCAATTACATTACCGTGAAAGTCGTTTTCATAATTTCTTAACCATGAAAATGGTTATGTTTGTCGCTCCTTTCATTGATGTACAAGTGGAATGAATTGCGTGGTATGCATCATGCATACTTAGTTTTAGTTGGTCTTTTTTCATATCTTGATATCACTGGACACCAGCTGTGTGGCGGATCCAGAATGAGGCAAATTTGTTTTTATAATAATAAAAGGTTAGAAATCTTACTAGTGGTGCGCTAATAGATATAACAAAGAGCACAAATGACTATATTAATTCAAAATGCTCAAGCAACATGTATATTATTTTTTTTTAGAGAAAACATGTATAATATGTAGTCTTTTACGCACTATTCTATACTGGAATTCTTTCAAATGGAGAGGCTTGTGATAGGCGTTGGCTTGTCTGTTCTAATTAAAGAACTTGACAGAGTATTTTGCTTTGGTTGTAAAATACTTATAATGGGGCATCGAAAAGGTCAGTTAGCAAATGAGGGGTGTAATGATTGGACAAATCTTGGCAACAGACTTAAAGAGCGTGAAACAAGTGCAGATCATGTTTTGAATATGACCACTTGGTATGAGTTGCGTAGTAGATTCCAGAAGGATCAAACTATTCATAAATATGCCCAATGACAACTAGAGAAAGAAAAGGATCATTGGAGGAAAGTTCTATTCAGAATTGTTGCCATTGTAAAATTTCTTGCCAAGCACGATCTTGCATTTCGGGGTAGCAATAGCAAGTTATATGATGATAGCAATGGGAATTTCTTGGGTTTGGTAGAGATGTTAGCTGAATTTGACCCTGTTTTCAAGAGCATGTTCGACGTATTACAAATGAAGAAACACAGGTTCATTATCTTGGTCATTCAGAATGAGTTGATACACCTGCTCGGTTCTTCACTAACAACAAGATTTGAACAATATATCAAGGCTACCAGGGAATTTTTGGTTTCTTATTTACTTCCGATATATTGCGGTCATTCTATAATAATAGCTTGAGATCGTCATGTGATAATCTTGAGGCTGCTCTTAAAAGAGATGGAAAATCAGATATTGATGCTAATGAACTGTATGTGCAGCTGAGGTTACTTCAAGATTTTATTCCAAAAGAAGACATGGGCCCTGTTGATATTCTAAAGTTCTTGAAGCGACATGACTACTTTCCCAATGCAACTATTGCATATAGAGTTTTGTTGACCACCTATGACTGTCATATTAGCAGAGCGAAGCTATTCAAAACTGAAGTTATTGAAGAATTATTTGTGTTCTACAATGATGCAAGAAAGGCTTTCTGATTTGGCTACAATAGCACTTGAGGGCAACAAGCTGGACAAGATTGACTATCAGTCTATTATTGAAGGTTTCATTTCGAAGAACACCAAAAGAATGATGTTGTTCAAGTAAACATTATGCAACGAAGGGTTGAATAGGTACTACAATTCATAACTTATCACATAGCAATGTAATATATTATTGTTTATATATCATTTGTGGTCCTATTTTGCTAGCCTACAAGGCCCCGTTTTAAACATTGCATAGGGCCTCGGTTTTGTCCGGAACAGCCCTGATTGTAGATAGAAAAATACCTAATGAAGAGCATCCATGACCAAAACATCATGTATGTCTTTACAATTTCAAACCACTTTGCCCACAATCCTCAATTCTACATTAAATTAAAATTTTAAAGCATGTCATAGTTTTTTTAAAGCAAGATACAACAGTATAAATTGAAATTAGCGAATACAATACGCCAGGCCCTTGCATGACAAATATATAGTATTGTAAACAGAATTGTGTTGTACTCAGTTTCTTCTCCGGGAACTCCCAATTATTCCCAGCTTAACGTTTTACAAAAAAGGAAAAGTAAACATTGGAGATTTTTTGTTTTGCTAATCTAGCACCTTCTAAACTTTGGAAACTCTACACCTTCTCTCAAAATTATACATTAAAGTTGTCCTTGTAAACTAGTAGACCGGAGAGAGTACAGTAAAGCTGGAGCCCAAAGAGACAGAATGCCACCATTCGTATTGTGCTTTGAACGGAGACTTGTACTTAGTATTTGACTTTTTTTATTGCAACCTCACGCACAGTGCTAAAGGAAAGCTTGTGAACGTACCAAGTACTGGTCAGTATCAGTACTAAGTAGCTTTCTCTTGAAAAAAAAACTAATTATACATGATCTAATGTTCATGGCCTCATGGGGGTTAATCAGATTAAGGGTCTTTTTGACACGGCTTATGCCGGTTTCGGCTTCATCTATTTTGCGCAAATCGAGATACTGTAGCGTGAAGCCGTTTTGTAAGCCGGGTTAAAATGAACTAGAAGCCGGAAAAAACCAGTTTTTCTGGCTTCACCGGCTTTGGCTTCACCGGTGAAGCCGTTTTAGATGAGCCGTGCCAGTGGGGGCTTAAGTATCACGCAAATTTAAGCTGCACTATTAATTATATGTTGGAAGATGTTTAAATTCACTAGAAGAAACTCACATGTTTAGCCTAAAAATTGACAGCACTATTACGAGAGAAGGAGCATTCACTATTCTGATATCCTACTCCCAATTCCAGAATTTGACACTATGCAAAAAGAAGATTCTCTGTCACATCAAATCAAACTTCAAGGACGAAATTAAAAACTAATTGGTTGTACTTTGCCAGACGAACGTTTTGAGCCTAATTAGCCAACGACTGGACAATTATTACCAAATAAAAACAAAACGGTACTGTAGCCAGAGTACCCCGAAATTTCGGCGGCGCCGATTCGGTGCGTGAACTAAACACGGCCTAAGGTTCATGGCAGGCACTGCCACTGACCGAGACAGAACATGTGTTCTTCCCTCCTCTGCCCCTGGACAAACGGCAGAGCAACTGAACTACTAAAGGGTAGCCTCATATTCCCATTCCCTAGTGTTCACCAGCTGCATTAGCAAGACTCGTCGCTCCCTGCTTGCACTCAGATCACACAAAGAAGCTTGAGACATCGATGTCGAGGTCGTCGAGGAACCCGTCGCCGTCGGCTCTGTCGATCGCTGACATGACTTCCTCGAACCCGAACTGCACGTCGCCGCCGGCGACCTCGAAAGGCGGGAAAGAGACGACGTGGTTGGAGTCCGAGGTCGCCGGGGACACGGCCCAGTTGTCGGACGTGGACGGCGCGGAGAAGGGGCTGCGCTCCGGCACCAGGCACCCGCTCGCTGTCGCCGGCGTGGAGGAGAAGCAGAAGGGCGCGGGCGCGTCCCAGCCCTGCAGCTGCTGCTCTGGCTCCACGGCCGGCCCCTCGGTCTTCACCGTCAGGCTGGAGCTCAGGCTCTGCACGAAGCTGCTGGTGCCCGGGTTGTCGTTGTCCTTGTACGCGTCTGCGGCAGCCCTCTGAACGCAGGTGTGGTCACCGAGGTAGACGACGTCAAAGAAGGTCGGGTCCTCGTCGGTGCGCTGCACTTGCTTCGTCGCCGCACATCCCTGAGAGTGCCGGCGTCTGCAGCGGTAGTAGCCCCTGCAATGTTTGCACGGATCACGTCAGCCTCAGGACCATAATCTTGTTTGATGGGGGGAAAAGAAGAGATTTTGCTTGTGCATCGACGAACAAGATCTGCACAAAGTAGCATCAAAAATCCGATTTGGAAATCGCTCTATGAATCACTGTTCCTCCATCGGACAAAGATTAAGTGGAGGCCAGCCAAACACTTGCAAACAACACAAACAAACAGAGGCTGCATAACTTTTTTCAGCAAGACAAGAGTGGAGGAGCCCCGCCATCAAAAGTAGATAAGAAAGCAGCAGGAAATGATTTCGATTACACTTGCGATAAGAACACGTGCAGATGAGATTGGGCTCTGGAGTCTGGAAAAGAAAAGAAAAATCTTTTCTTTTTTGATAGGAGGATGTGTCAAGTCAAGTGGGGCAACCTTGGGTGCTTGGCTCCAAGGATCTCCTTCTGGCCGTACTTCCTCCAGCTGTGGCCGTCGTCGGCCGGGTGGTCGCCGGCCGAGCTCACCCTCACCTCATGCCTCTTCTTGTCCATCGTCGTCCTGCAAGTTCACATAAAAAGCACTTGAAAAGCTCAGCAAACAGAGATCAATTAGGAGCGTTTCTGTTTGTTAATCGGGAAGCTCCCTGGATGATGGATACCTTTTCTTGGTGGCCTTGACGAAGGGCGTGTCGGAGGCGTCGCTGAGCGGGCTGGCCGTCGCCGCCGACCGCTTCCGCGGGCCGTCGAGGGTGGAGGTGGTGATGAGCAGGCTGATGGAGCGCTCGGTGATGGAGGAGATCTGCGAGGCGAGGTGCTTGCAGAGGTCGGGCGAGGAGCCGCCGAGGTGCACCTCCAGCTGCCCCGCCAGCTCCTTGACGTGGCCCAGCTCCGTCACCACCAGCCGGCTGCCTCCATTGCCGTCGACGACGCTGGCCATCGCTCAACCGACGGACCTCTTAGTCTCGGCTGTTCGTTGTTGCCGCGCAGGCTAGAGCTGGTCTGGAGGCCGGACCGCGGGGTGATCGATCGATGGTGATGGCAATGGTGCTGCGAAACTAGAGGCAGCGCAGGACTGTGTCGCGGGCTCGCGGCTGCTGGGAGAAGAGAAGAGGCAAGTGATGAGGCTGGTGGGTGACTGGGTTTGAGAGGGGGTGATGAGGCGAACGGCGCAGGGAGCTGCCCTCTTTATTTATAACGGCGATGACAACGACGGAAACAAAAACATGGGGAGCGAAGCGCGTTTCGTCTTTGGAGGGGATGCCTATTGTGTTGCAGGTGCAGAAGGATTGTTTGGGTTTCGGAGTAGAGACTGCTGATTGGCCATGTCGGATTCGGACCGGGCCGCCCGTCCGTAACACGTCTTCATGCTGCCGAGTGCCAAACGTCCAAGAAAGGGGTACACGGCCCCTACCCCTACCTTACTACGAGAGACAGCAGCACCTTCCTCGGAGGCTTCGCGCGTTTTCGTTTTCGTTTTCGTTTTCGATCGAGAACCTCGTGATCGAGCAATGCTCATCAGTCATCACCCTACTAGCTAATTGTCGGATTTTTCCTTGGTGACTGACAGGAGATGTTCGTTGAGCTCAACATCACGATGGGAACCCCGAAGATAGCTAGGGCATCCCATCGAACGAATGGCACCAAGATGCGTTGTACACCCTACCTCCTTGTAGTGGCGGATGCAGGATAGGACTGAAAGGGGCTGGTCTTTTCTTCTTGCTCTCTCTCTTTATTTTTTTTCTTTCCTCCACCTCTTCTTCTACCTCACCCTCCTCATATTGTCATTGATGCATCAGCTGTAGGGGGGCTGGTCTCTTCTTCTGGCTCTATCTCTCTATTTTTCTTCTTTCCTCTACCTCTTCTTCTCTCTCACCCTCCTCATATTTCTATTGATACACCAGTTGTAAGGGGGCTGGAGCCCCCCCTAAGATCCGCCCTGCTTCCTTGCTCTTTGATTATTTTACGCACGCACTGACCACCACTACTGGATTCAGGCGCTTTGCCGGGTGCCGAATGCACCTGGTAAAGGCTACTTTACACTCGGCAAAGCCTTTGCCGGGTGCAGCACTCGGCAAAGAGCCTCCGGCAAAAAATTAGTCGGCAAAGATTTCTTTGCCGGGTGTTTTTTATCGGGCACCCGGTAAAGACTTTGCCGAGTGCAAATCCGGCACCCGGCAAAGAAAAGTGGTCGTTCGGTGGCTGGCTCCGTCATCCCTTGCTTTGCCGGGTGCCATGTCAGAGGCACCCAGCAAAGATTTTTTTAATTTTTTTTTGAAATTTTCTTTGCCGGGTGCCGTGCCGGGGAGGCACCTTGCAAAGTTTTTTTTATTTTTTTTTATAATTTCTTTGCTGGGTGTCGCACCGCGGGGGCACCCGGCAAAGAGTTTTTTATTTTTTTCGTAATTTCTTTGCCGGGTGCCAGGTCATGGGGCACCCGGCAAAGAATTTTTTGAAAAAAATTTTGAGGGTGCTTTTTCAGCAACTTTCGGCAAAGCTGGGAATTTCGAAGGAATTCTGGCTTTGCCGAAAGTGTGAGGCTGTGGCACCCGACAAAGCCTCAAAAATTAATTTTTTTATTTTGTTTTTTGATTCTATAATCACAAACACAGCATATAAAAGATATATATCACATCTGAAGCATCACAAAGACAATATAGCACATATATATCACATCCATCTCATCACAAACTCAATCCCACACATATATATCACATCGCGAATACAATACCTCACATACACAACATCACAAACATAATAGGTCCAATTACCATCGAAACAAGTCGATAGTGGATCACAGTGCATCACATGTCCATCAAGCGGTGAAAAAGAGATACAAACTAAAGGTGGGGAGGAAACTAAGTGCCTGGTGAAGGAAACTCGGCACTGCCTGCTTGCGCCTGAGATGGGTTATTCGAACCCGCCGATGGAGGCTGCATAAAGGACAAGAGATTCAGGCGCTTAGAGTGGGTCATCTAATGAAAGCACTAGTCGAAGCAATATGGATTCATACTCACTGGACTAGATACAACTGGCAGCGGCGCTGGAGCGAACATCGGCACAGGTACACCGTTCACTTGCCCAAAGTTCTGTAGGAACATCGTAATCTCCGCCAGCTGCTTGGCCTGTCTCTCCCGCTCGGCCCGCTCGGCTTGCCTTTCCCGCTCGGCCACCTCGGTCCTCGCCGCTAGGTACCGCAGCTCCTGAGCCATCGTCTCGTTCTCGGCCTGCAACATTTCAATCGAATGTTTTAGTAATGTAAAGGTAACTAAGTTATGTAAAGATCAATGTACGAAGAGTTAAACTGGACTAACCTGGAGTGCGTCGACCCGCTGTTGTGAAGGGGACGGTCGTTGGCGTATGGCCGGGCCTCCGCTCGGGGTACTTGATCGGATCTAGGAGAGGGAGGGAACAGAGCCGGACTCGAGAGTGCCATCGTCAAGCCAGTACCTCCCATGCTTCTTGCCCTGTCCGATCCTCATGACAGTCGTGCCATCAATGTCGTCGGTGCTCGGATCCCAGTCTGGCCCCTGGACCGACCTTGCCTCCGACGCGTAGGAGCTGATGCGGGTGTGGGCGCTCGTGTTGCTGTACGACTCGGGTGGGTCATCCGGGCTGAAGGTGACAGCGGAAGTCGCCTTTCCCTTGCGGGCCAGTCCATACGCCATGAACGTGGACAATGGCTGGCCACCATGCGACGACGACTGTGAGAAAGACAACAAGATGATTAGAAGAAACATGCAGAATGGAGCGTCAGAATACTAAAATGAATTCACGTACCCAAGCTTGCTTGTACGCGCCGAGGCTGTGGCTGCCTTGGTGGTGTGTGGGGCCTGTCGCCTGCAAAGCCCGCTCCTGGTGGGCTTCATGTTCCTGGATATAACCCTCTATGAACCACCTGTCCACGATCATCTCCCAGCAGTCGGCAAAGGACTCGCAACACCATGGAATCATCTACATGTCATAAAGAATTTGAGATGTAAGACGACCAAATGAAAGCTACTTAATCTCAAAACGAATCAGTATTATTCTTCTTCATTTACCTCAAGGAACTGTTCCCGGGTCAGAGGCATCTGTCTTGCCTGTGTCTTGCTGACTTTCTGACCAAGTCGCGTGGCGTAGTACTTGATGATGCAAGTGAGGCGCTCCTCGTAGTGCATGTCGCTGATGCGTTTCCTGGCACTTTTCACCAAGTTCTTCTCCGCCCTTTCCTCCTGTCCCTCTTCACACCTGAAAAAGTGTCAAATGAATGCGATGTATTGATCAAAGTTGTGCGAACGAGACTTACCCAGAACTCTCTCCTGACCCGCTCGTGCTTGTCTTCATAATCTGCGTCGGGGGCAGATTTGTAGTGGTCCCACGATTTGGCCGGCCCCACAGTCCCCTTGTGCGTGACAATGCCGGGGTAATAGTGCCTGCACACAAGGCCCAAGATGTGGTTGGGATTGCGTGAGTCACCAGGCGACACAACCTCCCAGTGCCTGCACAAGTCATTAACAAACATTATTAGTTTCTCTGACAATTTTCAACAAGTTATATGAAGTAGCTGTGATTAAATCTAAAGTTAGTTACCTGTCCCCCTGGGGGTGGATCACTGGGCGTAGGGGAGGAAGCGGAGGCCCAGGGAGTTTTGAGGGACCTCGCAAGTAGGGGCTAGCCACAGCAGAGGCAGTGGAACTACTTCTGGCCTCGCCGCCCTCCTGTGCCTCTCCCTCGATGTTCGTCGCCCGAACCTCGTCCGTCGCTAGAACCTGCTCGTCCTCAGAGGAGTCCGTGGTACGGCGCTCCTCCTTCGGCACGTCACGTGGCCTGACTAGAGGAGGCCGGCCCCTCCTGCTGCCGCTCCCGCTGCCGCTGCTCCTGGCCCTCTGCCTCCTCCCATCCGATGCGTTCTCTCCGGCATCTACGTCCTCATGTGCCCTCTGGTACCTCGAGTTCACGTTCCTTGGCCCACTGCCGCCCGCCATCTTTGTTCAATCACCTGCAATTAAAAAGAAACAAATAAGACATCATTACATGTATTAGAAATAGATGCTAAGTAAATAAACAAAACACGATTACAAAATAACATAGTATTACATGTATTAGAAGTAATCATCATTATTGGGATTATCTGGATCATATGTCTCATCATCACTATCAAAATTGTCCAAATAAACAAGACTGTCTGAAGGTTCAATGTTGCCTTCATCGTCATCATCTAAATGTAATCGCTCAAGCATTTATATGTCCTTGGCATTTTGCACCTCATCTCCTTCTTCCTCGTCATCAACCCTTTCATTGTCTACTTGCATTCCAATCGCCTCGGTTAAGTCTATCACCAACCTCCCTTGTAGCCCATCTTCTTGATAGAACTCTCCATCATATGTGTATGGGTTGAAGTTGTAATCTTCATCGTTTGGGATAGCTAGTCTACCATGTGGCGATACCTGGTGCACAATAGACCAACCCTGAAGAGCCTTGTTGCCTTGGCATGCGTATGACAAATAATAAACCTGCACGGCCTGATCCGCCACAATAAAGACATCTTTTCCTTGATAGATGGAATCGTGTCGAATCTCGACTTGACCAATATTAGGGCTCCATTTCGTTAGTCGAGGATTGAACCAGTGGCATTTGAACATGACGAGACGAAGAGGTTTCGAACCATAAAATTCAAGTTCATAGATATCTTCAATTATGCCATGATACTCGAGGCCATCAGTGCCGGGAGTACAAACTCCGCTGTTTGTGGTTTTTCGATGGGGCCGAGCTCGCTCGTAGCTTCTTGTGTGAAAGCGATATCCATTCACATCATAACCTGAATAAGCTTTCACCTTACTGTCGAAGCCATTTGCAACCTGTCTCAACTCCTTACTCATAGTTGCATCGGTTTGGGCCTGCAAGCGCAAGAAGAAAAGATTGCCGGACTAAGTACGCGAAACTCGGAATCTCAAACTA